AAAAAACGACCATGTATAGTAAGGCGTTTTTAGCTGAAAAATAACGACCATGTATAGTAAGGCGTTTTTAGCCCGAAAAAACGACCATGTATAGTAAGGCGTTTTTAGCTGAAAAAACGACCATGTATAGTAAGGCGTTTTTAGCCCGAAAAAACGACCATGTATAGTAAGGCGTTTTTAGCCGAAAAAAACGACCATCTATAGTAAGGCATTTTTAGCTGAAAAAACGACCATGAATTGTAAGGCGTTTTTCGTTCGAAAAAAACGACCATGTATCGTAAGGCGTTTTTAGCCCGAAAAAAAGACCAAGTATAGGAAGGCATTTTTAGCCCAAAAAGACGACCATGTATAGTAAGGCGTTTTTCGCGCGAAAAAACGACCACGTATGTGAAGTAATTTTTAACCCATAAAAACGACCATGTATAGTAAGGCATTTTTAGTTTCTCAACATCTCGCTACCGAGCAGACATTCAGGCAATCCTTCCACATTGGCAATGAATGCAAATGATTCAGTCCAAAAAACATTGAATGCTCTGTTCTCCACATTTATTTTTCTATTTTTCCCTTTCCATCCATGGCGCATCGCACAGCCGTCGGTTTTTGTTTTTACAACAGCCACTCGCCTGGCATCCCGCCTGCGCATAGAAACGTGTGTCGCCAGATATGACGCAAATTTTCGTTGACAGAAATCTTCACATTTAATATTTATTCCAAACACTTTTACAGCATTGGAAAACGTGAAGAATGTTTGTCCTCGTACAGAAACCATCTTTAAACAAAAAACATATTTCACTGCCTCATCTTTTTCCACTTTCAAACATTTTTGAAAAAACTCCAGGGAGCCACGAGGGCGGCGCAAAAGAGCCGCATGCTGCTCTCGAGCCGCGGGTTGCCGACCACCGTCCTAAAGTGACAATATGTCATTCTGGTTTGAATTTTCTTTTTTTAAATACCGTCATGAACACATTTACACTCACCTAAATGATCTCGCGCCACCTTACCTCTCTGAGCTTATCCGCCCCTACACACCTGCCCGGCGCCTCAGGTCTGCGGACCAAACATTATTAGAAGTACCAAGAACTAAACTGAAGCCCAGAGGGCATCGAGCCTTTTCCGTTGCTGGTCCCTCTCTCTGGAATGACCTCCCACTGAACATTCGGCAAGCCTCCTCGCTGCTCATCTTTAAAACCCGCCTCAAAACTCCCTTGTATTCTTTGGCATTTGGCTCAGCATGTCCCAAATTATGATCTTAGTTATACTGTTTGGTGCTCTCTACCGTCTTTGATACTGATTTGTTGTTTTGCTTTTCTGTGCTTTACTGTTGTATATGTTAGTTGCTCCATGTACAGCACTTTGCGTGCAGCGATGGCTGTTTGAAAGTGCTCTATAAATATATTTGAGTTGAGTCTGTTGAGCACAATCACTTGTCAGTTTGTCAGTCGGCAAATTCGTTGCTCAGCTGCAGGTGAAAGCCCTCCAGGTGTTCTTTCAGTTTCTCCCTCACGTCGTCACTCCGTTCTTCCAGCGGGGCGTCAAGGCCTGGACGCTGCTGGCCTCCTCTTCCAGTTGAACCGCCTACGCTCCCAGAGTCCGGCGCGGGCACCGGGACGGTTCGGCTGACGAGGTCCTCCATGGTCAGATAGTCCTGGAGCGGGTTTTCGCAGCCAGCGGGGACCAGAATAAACTGCGCCTCGGCGTCACTTTGCACCCACAGCGACGACTGTTGCGGGTCCTGACTTTGAGACTCAGCTTCAAACTCACAAAGGCAGTCGGGCAAGCGTCGGGCGGCTTGGAATGCAAGTGGGAAACTTTGAGAATTTGGCCCCTTTGAGTCAAGTTGTTCGGTGAAGTCTTTCTCAGGAGTCGTCACCGAGTCCTGATGGAGGACTGGATCTTTGTCCGTTTCCAACTTGGTGTCGCCTCTCCCGCAATAGCGGCAGTACTTCTCTGCATCGCTTCCTCGAGGACGGCAGCAGGCCCTGCTCGCGGCGTCATCTCTGCTCTGTTGCATCTTCTGCTGTCTGTCGCGCAGCCTCAGCAGGGAGCCCCGCAGCCGATTCTCCCGGCGCCGGGCGGCGTGCAGCTGCCGCAGGGTCTTCTCCAAATAGTCCACGGCCTTGTCATAGCGCCTCCGCCACAGCAGGGGGCAGAGCTGGGCGTAGCTGTGCTCCTTGGGCAGGTAGAAACCCGGGCGTGGGGGCAGGCGCCGCATGTAGCGCGATGGCGAAACGGAGCGAGGTGGCGACGTCGGTGGAGGTGAAGAGGTCCTCTTTTCGGGCGAGCGGCGCCCCCTACCTTCTGCTGTCTCGAGACAAGATCCGGCTTGCTCCTCGCTGGTCTCCTCGGCTTCAAGCGACGACTCAACCAGTGATCCATCTGGAGTTTGACACTTGGCAGTGCCCTGCTTGCTTGAAACGTGTCCGTTTCTGCACAGTTAAACAGACACAGCGATCTCAGCAAATCAGCATGGTTGGTAGCAGCACCCATCGTTGTACAGTAGTACCTCGACTTGCACTCTCTTTAATAGGAGCGGTCACTCAGCCGAATTTTTTTTTTTTTTTTGTCGTGACTTCCAAGCTCAAATGTACATAACAAACGTACTTTTTATTTTAAACACAAAATGTTGAAAGGCCTAACAATATTCACAGCCAGGCATATGTTATTTATCCCCTCTGAAAATTGACTAATATCATGGCAGCTCACTTAGCAGTTGTAACCTTCAAGTACAGTTGTGCGTATGTATTTTATATTATATGTTATACTGCCCCCTTGTGGCAAAAGCATGCACACCGGAAGGAGCCAAGCAATGAACGCATGAAACCATGATACTATTTCTTTCTTTATATCCCATTTCATTGTTTAACTGTATATTCGTATTAAATACAATATACTGGAAGGCTATTTTTCTTTTTCAATAATTAAAAAAAAAAAAAAAACGTTTTTTTTGTCTTAGCATTGAATTCCAATGTGGAAACATGACTTGAGATGTGAGTGTTTTGAGTAACAAGCATGGTCAGAGAATGAATAAACTTGTAAGTCACTACTTGGTCGTGACTACTTACTTGGTAGTGAACTTTGGCACTTCAGACCCCAACTATTTGTATTAAAAGAAATCAGGAAGATAATTCTCCATAAGCCGTCCCCCATCCCACCTGTCTTCTTGTTTCAGGACCTTCCCCGGCCACTTGTAACTGCTCACAGATGAGGAACCAAACACTGTGGGAAAGGCATCTTCCCTCAGTCTCCTGATGCCACTTCAAAGCACGCACGCACACACACACACAAAAAGAAGCAGGTAGTGACTCGTTATCTCATCTTAGCGGCTCACTAGTGTGAGCCCATTTGGACCGCAAAGCACTTAGCACATGCTTTAAAAAGTTCATGGCCCAGTATTGTCGATAATTCCAGCAGACTGACTTGCAGTTGCGCCGCTAAATTACGTGGATACGTGTTTATGCTACGGGGAAGCTGACAGCTTGTTGGGGGAGGAAAAAAACAACAACTCCACTTTAACTCTTTAAAAACTGCATATATTATTCTAAAGTGTGGCGATGCTATGCTGTATTTATTAGCCATAACCAAGTAGTGAGGTGGGTTATATGGTCTTGGTGTTTACTGACCTGCAACTGGCCATCTCAAAGCTCTCTGGCGTGAAGTGCTTGGAGCAAAAGTACACAAAGTTGGTCCGAGGGTCCCAGGAGTCAGCGCGGCGAGAGTTGCTGATCCAGAGGTTTCGACGAGAGGCTTCTTTGGGCAACCTGTGCCATCAAATATTGGTAGTTGATGACATCATCAACGGTCAATCTTTAGCTCAGCTAGGCAGGAATGAAAAAACATGTTTCCGTGTGGACAATCCTTTCATATTACTTGTGGAAGGTGATGCCGGCATTCCGAGTCTCACGGTTGTCACGCGATTTGCAGCCGCCGGCAGAACAGTGTCTGGGCATCTGAATGTGAAAAACAAAGTGACAATAAAACATTTTGAAATCATTATCGTATCAAGGTCAAGAGTCTATCAAAACTACAAGATATTTCTTTTTTTTCAACATTATTTAACTACATCACAAAAGGGGAAGCATTTTAATATGATTGTCTTCTTAGCTTCTACACCTCGAGAAATTATTTTGAAGAGATTGCGAACAAATCAAATGACATAACCAGCTTTATTATAATTCACTGTTTCCATAAGTTGATAACTTTTAAAAGATGCACTGCAATCATGAAAAAAATAGAGTGACTAGACACTTAAATAATACAAATGCACTGTAAACAGACATAACCCCGAAGCAATGAGTCGACCCGATGGAAACCACACTGACACCGGATAAAAAAAAACTGAACTTTTTCCAGCCACGCATGCGCACTTTTCGTGTAGCTGCCATATGCTAAATGCTAACAGGGCCACCATCTCATGATTCGAATTTCAGTCCGAACTACAAAAATAAGCAAAAACACCTTAAGTGTGATTTTTTCCATCACGTAGGGTTTCTCACCTCATTGCCAACTGTAGTCGAGCGAACTTTCTGATGCTAATTTAGGCGAACACCAAACAATTAGCACGATAGAACGAAACGAGCTATCTCGCCAACGCGCCATGAACGCGACAGAACGGCGTACGCGTTTTTTGTTTTTTTGCTTCACTCCTAATAAATGACTAACATTTGAAAGTTTGCTGGTTTATTGTTAAAGTATACTACCATGCGCCGAAGAGTTGACCTCAGGAAGATGGCTGCTGTGTTTTCCGACTACCTTTTTCCGGTTTTACTGACGTCACATTTTTTTTGGTGTGTAAAACTTTATCAATGTGCAATGTTAGATTTAGCTGTCTAGTAACTTTTACAAATAAACCACGAGCGTAAAAAAAAGATAACACAATAGAGGCGTATTTTTCAAAATACCATTATACATTATTTTCGAAATCCGTATAAAGTATTGCCCCCCCACTCAAAAAAAAAAAAAACAGATTAGCAGTGCGGTAGCCTTACAGGCACAAAACAAATACGTTGTTGAGTTCTCCAAATAGATGTTAGTTTGAATTTGACGGAGTTCATAAGTAATAAGAAGCAATGACATTCTTGTTGACAAACTATATTACAGTCTTACGTTCTCCTGGTGTACCTAATATTGTGGCCACTGAGTGCATATTCTCACGCATGTATGTAATAGAGCTCTGCAGGTCACGGTCAGGGATGGGGGAGTGAGTGCGCGCGCGTGAGTGTGTGTGTGTGCGTGTGTGTTTTAATGCAGAGGCCGTCTGGAGGATGTGTCTGGCCGGCCCTCCCTTCCATTGTCCCCTATCCAGTCCTCCCCCACGAAGTTGGGGGGTGGGTGGGTCAGTTCTGTAAATCACAACGCCTCGCAGTTGTCTGACACGAATGCAAAGCACCGGACGGCGCATTTTTCTTTCTTCCCCATCCTATGGCGAGGTTCCTGGAAGTCGAAATGGGGCTCCGAGTCGGCAGGATCCGTATGTAGCCAGGGCTGCATGCGGAGGCTCCGGGCTGCCTGCAGCGGCGGCGGGTCCTCCTCGGACCGACGCGTTCTCCGGTGTCCCGGCGGCCGTCTCATGCGAAACCCAGCGGCCCATTTGCGAAGCTCCAGCCCCACACAGTCCAATGGTCATTGCCTTTGCAACAGACCCCAGCCACAGGGCATGGATATATGTAAGTCACCTACCTCCTTTTTTTTTTGTTTACTCTTAGATAGTCTGCATTTTCACGGCGGAGTCGAACGCTTATGTGTCTATTTGAATGTGAACGCCCGAATGATGTTTGCAGGTGTATCCCAGCCTGGACACAACATCGCAGTGCACCTTCTACTGCCTGATTGCATTGTATGCATTCATAGATATGACGATTTTGCTGTTTGTTTTCTGGAGTTGGCAGTATAAGGAGGATGCATGGTTTGCAGGCGTTCCTGTGTATTTGCAGCAATTTGTGTCTTTTAGTCATGGTTGGCTGCAACGTATAGAACGATATAATGCAAAAAAAAAATCCAAAAACATTATAATGGTCGGTGTGGCTCTGCACTAGTTGAGGGCCGCAGGGTCAGTCAACGTATTTTTATTCAGTAGACCGATAATATCTGCATTGTTATGCGGATAACAGCAGAATTTCCCTCATACTGTAGCTCATGTATAGGTGTGACTAATGAAGTGATCGGTAAAGCTGTATGGAAATGTCATGTCATTTATGTGAGGAAAAAATGCGATGCAGCAAGCATTTGTGGCTTTTTAGAGCAGCTTCTAGTTTGTTAGCTTGTTTGTTTTATTGCCAACTCAAGTGACACGTAACCCATATGGCTGGATACAGTCCCTGAAGACACTTGAGCAACTCCTCAAATGACACGTCAATAACGTCACAAATTAACACGAGGCAGATAGCCTGAGTAGTTTTACTTGGTGTTAGTTTGTTTGCATTACAAATAGACGGATCGATGGACGGGTGGGTGGATAGCAGCGGAGTGGTGTCGTTCTCCAAGAGACGGATCAACAATTCTGCATTTGCTCACATAACAATGCTGATTTTGTTGAGCGTCAATTCACCATTCGCCAACTGCGCCACAGCTGGACTGATTTTTTTTTTAACAGGAAACATGCAGAGGCACCAATGCTGATTTTTGTTGTGGTGAGAACCAGACCGGACTGTGGGGGCAGGGGGGGGGCTCAACAAAACAACAACAACAACAACAACAAAAACTCACGTTCAGATTTGATTTGCGATGCACCAGACTCCTCGTTAAAGCCGTCTGTCTGTCTGGGGGTCGCTCCTCCCCAAGGCTGGGGGGTAGGCAGGTGGGGGTCAAGGGTGAAAGGTGAAGGTCTGTCAGCCAGGGTCTGTGTCTGATTCTTTTGTCTTCTTTGCCTGGCTCTTTGTTTGCACGGCGCTTAGTCAGCACGAGACATTTGGCTTTTTCTCTATACATGTCACCGAATTCAGAGTCAGACATTTCATTCTTATTTTTAATGCGTGAACCTATAAAGTTATAAATTGAGTGAGTAGTTTGACTTTGTTTGAGTCCGATTGAATATTGTGGCTCGAAGATCCAAAAGAATTCTGGGAAATGAAGGCACCGTGCTGTATGTCCTGCATGGTCAAATTACACAATAATAATACAAAAACGTGATCATAACATGACACGAATGAAATCCAATATGTTTTTATTCATTAGTTTAATTATTTCTTTTTAATTTATCTAGTTATTTTTTATATGAATGACAAAAACAAAACAAAACCAATGCTGCGCGGAAATTAAATGATGAATAATTTGGCATCGAATGAGAGAATTTGTGGAATGCTACACTGTGAGAGTTGTTTTCCCTTGTATGTACAAAAAAAAAAAAAAAAAAATTGGAATTTCAAAAGATGAAAATGCCCCAAAGTTGGCACTACAGTAGATGGACAAATTTTCTATTGAAGCATATGTAACAGCGTCCCCAATTTTATTGGAACTATAGCTCTTGAAAAAAATCTCATCAACATGCAGTGTTGACATTTATTTAAATCAAGGTCAGAGAGGCAAGATCACAGAAGCAGCGTCACATTTGCATTCGGCATTTTTGAATATTAGATTGGGATTAGGGACATAGCTAATGAGCCAGATGGCGTCTGATCTGCTGCGCCCTGCCTTCTTTCGCTTTGACTGGCCCTCCCGTGATTAAACAATGTGTGTGTGTGTGTGTGTGTGTGTGTGTGTGTGTATTGTGTCTAGACGCGTCTGGGTAATAAATGGTCCAATAAATGAACCCCCACAACCCAGACCACATGGCTCATCCAGCTCCTATCACCGCCCCCTCTCGCTCCTCCGCCACCGTCACCCGTCTCCCCTGTTCCTTTTCCAACGCAATGACTCCCGTTTCAAATGAAGCAAAAAAAAAAAAAAAAACCCCGTTATGATCACAGCAGATCAAGGGATTCACTGGAAGACGAATAGTATCGCTTCATCCCATGAGGGTTCTATTTATGCATGTCAGTCAAGGCAAGACGTGCATCGTGATTGTCAAGGCGTAATGCTTGATCGAGATTTGCCAAGAATGTGAGCAACACAGTCGAGTCAGGGGCTGCTTGAATGGCTGATTCCAACCAAAATGGCAGACTTTTCTCTGTGTGTTTTTGGCCGTGGCTTCTTGGGACTTTTTGGTGGGTATACTCCTGATACGCACGCCTCCCAAATTTCATGGCACAAAGTAAAGCTGGATTCGGCGCCTGAGTTTTGCAAAAACTCTCAGTCTCAAGTGGATCCTTGAAGGACCCAAGGAAGGACCTGGCGAAAATGACACGAAAATGGGCCACTTCGGACCAAAATAGACATGTCATGTGACATGACAAAAAGTCAAGTTCTTCACAATCTAGCATCACTCATCTGTTCGGCACATAAGGTTCAAATTTGATAGCAATCGGCTGAGACCTCCAGGGCCAACTTAGTCTTTGAGTGACATTGATATTGCAAAAATTCCCCATCAATTCCTGCCTCAGACCAAAATGGCAGATTTCCCGTGTCACATCTGGCATGGTTTCCTGAGAATTTTTGTGGGTTTAATGATGACAGACATACCGCCCAAATGCCACGTTGCAAATTGAAACTGACATAAAGCCGCCTTGGTGTAATTGCACAAAATCTTGAGGATGAATTTGATTTGAAGGGGGACTGAAAATGGGCAAAATGCCTACCTCAAATCAAAACGGCAGTCCCTGCGAGTCTTTTCAAGAATGGCTTGATGGCATTTTTTGGCGTGTCTGCGCATGCTTGACATGGCTGCCAAATTTCATGTTGCTTAGCGAAACTGAATCATGGTAGAAATGAGACCATTTTGATGTAAACTTTCCTCAGTATGGTGACTTTTTGACTGTGTTATCAAAGAGGTAACTGCAACTTAAGTTGTCGGCAGGGAATTAATTTGCAGGATTTTTTTTTTTTTTAATGTCTTAATAAATAGTTTGGAGTCAAAACGAGCTCGAAAGCCCTGACTTTTATTATTTTTATCGGGGAAAGCTGCGGCTCAGTTACCGTGACGACCACGGCATGATTGTGTTTTCTAAGGTCATCTCGCCTTCTTTGCAATGTCTCGCATGTCCGCAGCTGAACTGGAGCTGGTTCAGATAATACTTATCCTGCTGGCGATGAGCGTCATGGTGGCCGTGGTCGTGTGCCTTCTCATCCACTACCGCCTGGTCGCCCTGTCCCTCCTCGGCAGGCTCGGCCACGCTCAGGAAGTCCCGACGGAGGAGGTGCGACGGGTAAGTGGCGAGCGGCTGACGCTTAGGCGTCCGTTTGGTGGTGAACTTGTTGTAACGAGTCTCCACGTGTTTCTGTCAGGACACGAGTGGTTGGCAAAACGGCATGTTGAATCGACATGGGCAAGGCCAGGTGAGTCATGCTTCTTGCCTTTTCTGTTCTTTCTCCAGGACAGTGAGTTGGCTTTCCCCTTCCGGCTGATCAGATCTGTGGCAAGTCTAACAGGAAGCTCTGCCACGGGAAGCGAAAACATGCAAATATTTGACACCCTTTCCCCAAGAAAACAATGTTTCAAATCACCCATCCCATGGTTCATCGTTTGCACCGCCACAATATCATTGCTTTTTTTAACAATCGTTTTTAGCTTTGTTTGTTTGTTTTTTTTTTTAACAGTGCACTTAGAGGTAATTACTACAATTCCCTCACACGTGGGAAAGGAGAGCCACAGTCACCGGTGAACGTTACTTGATTCTTTCTCAACCTAATTGTATCACTATTCTTTTTTACGAGCAGCTCGGGCACTGTAATGTTGCGTCCCACCGTGGTCCTTTCCATTGCGCAACTCAAACTTCTAACGGAAGTCAATTGGTAAAGATATCTGTTTCTGTGAGAGAAACCACTTTTGTGGCCGCATAGCATTTTTCCTGAGTCGACAAAATATTTTTCTTTTACCATCACTATTTTTATTTCGTGATTTGTCTTCAATGAAAGTAATGTGGTGACCACCGTGTGTACCGGGGCAGGACCATGGCCCCCATTGGCTGACTAGCTGCCACTGCAAAGAACCCTGGCTAAACTTAGCTTCTCCCATCCATCCAAAGTCAAGATCAACTACTTCCCCAAGGCTTTCCTGTTTGGACAGGGATTTTTGGCGGCATCTTGTGGCATCGTCGAGGTTATTACAAAGAACACCGAGATGAGTCTCATCGTTTCTTCTCCTGTTTTTTGTAGCCGATCCGTGGCCTCCAGAACCACATCACACCGGTCTTCGCGCAGCACCGCCACCTGTGTCGCCTGCAGCCCACCTACCCCGACATGCTGCAGGAGACTGTCAACCTGCCCCCCATGATCTGCTTGCCCGACGCAGAGGAAAAGGAGCGCCGCAAGACTCCCCGCTGCTTCCAGCAACATCCGGAGCTAAAGTGCTCCTGCATTTGCGCCCCTCCCAACCGTAACGTCCTCACGGACAATTACGGACAGAGCACCGGCCCACCGGCAGCCAAAAGCGAGTCGGGAAGCAGCGGAGAGAGGTCCGAGAGCCCCCCGCCCTCCTATAGTGTGACTATAAAAGACTCCTATTGTCAAAGTCCTCTCCCGAGTCCTAAAAGGTTGCAAACAAGCTGGAGCGCCATTGAAAACACAACCTCCACTGCGGCCGTCCCTCATAACTCCTCGGTCACCTGAGAGACTCAACCAAACGCTTTCTTTGTCATACTTAAATGTTATCAAAAATGTTCTATGCGGTGCAAAAAAAAAAATCTCTTGTGTTTTTGTCTATTTTTGTAAGCTTTTCCTTGTCTTTCTCTATACTTTTTGACTCAGTGCCCTGTCATGACTCACAGAATGTACTGGGCTTCATAATGCAAAAGTGAGCTGAAGTTGCACAGAGGATGCTTCTGCTTTTTTATGATTTTTCAAGCTGCTAAAGCTTTTTGCTTAAGTCCGAGCTGCGCATATTGTATACTTTTATCACGTTATAGACCCAGAGGCAATTTTCATTTTTTTCTTTAACACTAACGGCGACATTAATGTCACCATCTCAAGCACTTTTGCCTCTGAATCAACAAAACACAGGAAGGAGGAGGACGCTTCCTCCATATAAGCCATGCACAGCGATGTACTCTTGTCGGTGCGATTGACTTTATCAGTGCTGACCTGAGTTCAAGCTACAAGAATAGAACGCTGAATTTTGAGAGAAAAAAAAATATCCTCGTTGTTTACATTTTCATGTTATTTAACAAAGATTTTGTATTTATAAGGTGTAGCAGTTTACAATAAAAATCTGAAAGTGATGGGAGTGTCATTTCTTATTCAGACAGACAAAAAAAACATCCTTGTTGTTATATTGTCATGTTTTGTGAAAAATAATATTTTCCCTTTGAATTTCCCTTGTGATGAATAAACCAAGCGAGCTAGATAAAGAACAGTACCTCCTCACTCCCAACCTCCCTCCTACCTTCCCTCCTCCTTTCCTACCTTGCTACCAATATAATGACATAATGATAATCAACAAATGAAATCATTATTTAACCCTTGTATTGAAATATTAAATGAAAAAAAAAATTCAAGTTTATTTTAAACGCAGTCGACAGAAGAAACTGTATCACCTCCCAGACGATAGAGAGCGCTCTAAAAACGATGAGCTACATGCAGCACCTCCTGGTACACGTCATGCCAACTGGAGTTTTTGAGTTCTGCGCATGCGCGTCGGCAATTCCTTCGCTACTCGGGTCTGCAAAGAGGCTACAGAAGGTAACAATCTGTCCTTGCGTTTTCTTCTTTTCCTCATCAAATTGTGCTCTCAACTCGACCTTGTCACTTTAGAACAAGACGCTTCAACGTGACTGTAAGGACGGTTTGGTAATTGATAGCGCTGTTAGTGTAACTATCATGGTTTTTTAATGGAAATGGTCTTGCGCGGTCCCGTCCACGTAAGCGTCTCCGAGTCAATCTAGCGGATGCTAGTGAGCTGAACTTTAGACAAAGATTTTTTTAAATTTAAAAATAAATAAATGACATGGATTGGAGTCAAATATAATATTGGACCACCCTAAAGTGTTTACTACATTTTACTTTTCTTGCCGGCCACGTTGTTAGCACAGCTCTTCTCCATATTCTTGATCTCTACATGTATGTGCTTATACAACCTTTCTAATGATATATGTTAATATGCAGTACTACCTTTGTACCTCTGGTTACATGCCAATAGCACATCAAGTGTGACCGTAACCTTCAGAACGACAATTTGACACAAATGTATACAAATGGTATGAGATTGTCTCTTACCAAGAAAGATAAGATAATGATGATGATGATCCAGATTCCAGATGATGAAGATGCTGCACGCCTTTTTGGTCCTGGCGCTGCTCGCCCTGGGCTCTGGAGAAGAGGGCGCCCGTCTGCTGGCATCCAAGTCCTTGCTCAACCGCTACGCCGTGGAAGGCCGAGACCTGACCCTGCAATACAACATCTACAACGTGGGCTCCAGGTGGGAATGTGTCCTTCTACGATGCATGTAGCAATGGTGTCTACACTGAATTAAGGCTGTAGCTACTGAATATTTTTAGAATTGATTTTCCTACCGGTTATCTACCGACTATCAGTTATTTATTAATCGGACAAAATGCCAATTTAGATCGACACAGAGTGGTCCATGACGTTAGATAGCGAGGAAAATTGGCCACTGCGAAGCTTTGAGGCAGGTTTTATTCTCGTTATCTGATTATTCATTTCAGCTTATGTATGTATGTATGAATGTTAAACGTCCCTGTGCCTATTTAAAAAAAAAAATTGTGCTTTGTGTTCTAGTGCTGCTTTGGAGGTGGAGCTGTCGGACGATTCTTTCCCACCTGAGGACTTTGGAATTGTTTCAGGAATGCTGAATGTGAAATGGGACAGGATCGCACCGTATCCTTGAAACCAAATGTCTATTTTGGATATTGTTGCTAACGCTGAAGTAGTAAAATCTATGATGACAGCTCACCAAGCACACCTCCGTGTCGCTGGCTACAGTCTCATCCACACTGACACTCGTTTCGCCAACTGTCAACTTTGTTTTTTTGTACCCACTGGATGTGTCTGTACAAAAGCACCGTTGAGAGAGTATTATTGTAGGATAAGGTTAGATTTCCTCATATCTATCAGTTTAACAACAGCCATCCTTCCATCCATTTTCTTGAGCACTTATCCTCATTACAGTCATGAGTGAGCCAAAGCTTATCCCATTTGAAACACCAAAACACATAAACAAGTCTCAGATTCAATTAAGTGTGTAGACTTGGAACGGGTTCCCTGTTAATGATGTTGAAATCTTAACTTTGGGGATGTTCAGAGCCAGCAACGTGTCTCACACTGTTGTGCTGCGTCCACTAAAGGCCGGCTACTTTAACTTCACCTCGGCCTCTGTCAGCTACCTGGCTCAGGAGGGTGGACAAGTCGTGGTACAAAGATTTAAAATTTGAGGGAAATTGACTGTAAAATTTGACGCTGAAGTGACAGGTGCTTTGTATGCCTTCTAGGTGGGCTACACCAGCGCTCCCGGCCAGGGGGGCATTCTGGCTCAGAGGGAGTTTGACCGCCGCTTTTCCCCACATTATGTAAGCCACACGCGCATTTACACTTCTGTTGTCTCTCTCTGCTCACCTGTTTTGTTTTTCTAGCTTGACTGGGCTGCCTTCGGTGTGATGACTCTCCCTTCCATCGGCATCCCACTTCTCCTCTGGTACTCCAGCAAGAGGAAGTATGACTCGCCCAAACCTAAGAAGAACTGAGGAAAAAAAATACACCTTTATTATTGTTTTTATTTGGGTTTCAGACTGGAGGCGGGAGGGTCTGTAAGGGTTTCAGTGGGCGCAGGAGGTCTGAGAAGCTTAATAACCCATATTGGGGGGTGAATGGTGAGCCAGTGATTACATGAATGCAACAAATCAGTTCTTAATGAGAGAACAATTACAGTGCCGGTTACTACTGTTTGTAACTGTACTGTATATTCAACTCAGTTCTGAAGTTGTTAGACATCAGTATCAATAAAAACAAGGTGTTTTTTTTTTTTTATAAACCTGGATCTGAGTGGTTTTGTGTGTGTACTGGGGTACTTTATTACTAAATAGAAATCAACCTTCAGGTCATGGGTGGCACTCACTAGAAAAGCCACTTAGCCAGTTGTACATTTTTTTTTGTGTGTGTTTTTTTTAATCCCTGATGGTCATTACACCTGCTTTGTGTTCATTCCCCCCACCCACAATTATATGTCAGGGTACCTTTGCACACTAACAGCTTTAAATAAATTGCTCTCCAATCGCGTTTTTAACTATAAAACCGACCTAAAACTCGATACCACCAGCGCATTTCATTTTATAAATTATGACCCCTCGTCTTGGTGTGTTGTTTTGCGTCAAGTTGTTCCTATACTGACGATCGCTTTGCTGTCTATTTTAACTGAATTAACTAAATGTAATTTAGCAAATTAACATTCGATTCTATTATATCTTCTTATGTGTTAACGTTTCCTTTTCACACTCTAAGACAAACCGCGCTCTTTTTTGAAGCGGTTCCGGTTTTATTGTGAAAGCGTGCATCGTTCGTTCGTGCGCACTTGACACACAAAAAAAGACGCATTAATCGGTGAAATCTTTCCAGTGAAATAAAAAAAAAAACGACAGCGGGGCCTCACTACTCCCTGAGTGGGAGGCGTCGCGATTGCTCGTCGCCGTTCGAAACCGAAAAGACGTCTGCTGTGACTGTAATTCGGACGTGACATCAGCGAAGTGAGAGCCGTTTCCGCATTCCCAGCCTCCAGCCAACGTCGTGAGGTTGACTGTTGACACTCGGGGAGCATTTACACGGGAGCCCAGCCGAGAGCAACGTACCACCCGCCGGGTGAGTAAGATCGCTGACCCCGCGTACCAGCACTCGGTGCTCTTTCGAACTGTTCGGCACGTGACATTTTTGGATCTTCCATTGTCTTGTCATTTAAAGACAAGTGCTGGTATTTGTATGGCGCCCATTTCCTCGACAAGTCACAGCAGGTTGATATGTACATTACGTACATGATAAGACAATACGCACAAATTTTGGAATATTTTCACTTTTAAACGTGTCTTTTCTGTTTTACAACATAAAGAGCGTCAGTTTTGCATTATATAGCTCGTAAGACACAAAGGTTGCGTGTTCGTAGACTCTCCTAAAAAAACAAAAACAAATCCTTCATATTTTTATGTCAGCTGATGCCAAAACAAAACATTTTTGAAACCACTGAAATGGTTTGTGTTTAAATAATACAATCCGAGAGGATGAACTGGCCCTCACGCCCCATTTTTCATAAGAATCCGCGAAGATTTAACTCTTCCTGTTCAATCTCAATTACCTGTCTTGGTCCTTGAAGTTTTTTGGTGCATCCTATCATGATCAAAATGTCCAGCCAATTACAAGTTAATAGCTAAAACTTTTTCTAACTTTCCAGCGGTACTTGCACTCGCTTTTTAACGGCAAATCCTCAAATTGATGGTTTGCTGCCCACATTAAGTGTCCTAGGCAAAAAAAAAAAAAAAAAAACCGTTCATCATTCAAGCATCAGCCATCTGTCCCATATACCTGCTTCCATTTGGGCCTCATTTGGACAAATTTCCAAGTAGGAGTTTGGCAAAGCCTCAGAAAGCGTCCCAAAGGGCTGCTTTAAACCAAACCGGCCGACTTCCTGTACAATCTCGGGCAGGGGCCCAGGAAACTTTTTGTGTCTCTCGTGACGGTAGCTATGTCCACCCAATTTTGCATCAGTTGGTGACATGGGTGTCAAACGTTCCAGGGAGCAGTACTGAGTGAGTTTTGGTGGGTGGTGTTACGGACCTCTAAAATAAATCCATTTTCACCAGGATACGCAGGCTCACAGAAGATTTGTAGTTTTTCCTGATCGTTGAGGATCTTGAATTGGGTGAGTATGATTAATTATCGTGTTATCAGCGCAAAAATATACCCAAAAAGATTTAACACTGCACTAATGATAATGATTTGGAAGGACAGTGAAAATGACAGCCTGCTCATTATAGTATGACGGGTTCACAGCGGGGGTGCTACATGCCGCGCAGGAGGCCGAACTACCGCCATTGTCAAGTGGGCGGCGTTATTCTGCCCAATGCGACGCGAGTGTGAAAACGGGAGTTGTAATCTGAGTTCCTTAGGTGTGGGAAATTTCCCAGTATTCTGGAACGCGTCGTCACTCACTTGTCGATGCAATAAAACAAAAGCAATTCAGTGACTAACGCATGAGAGGAAATGAATGCTCGGTATGCTTTCAGATGACTGCAGAGTAGGTACGTCTGCGTCATTCGCTGGAGACTGGCCACTCCTTAATTTACTGGATTTCAACAGAACATGCCAGACAGAAAAAGAAACATGAGAAATGTTTGAAAGTAAATCTAAATTCATGGATAACACAACATTACATTAAAAACATTGACACGGATACTGGCTCTGTGCTGTCATTCCGAGTTAAATTATCATCCTGTCTTTTTTTTTTTGGTGCTGTGCAAATACATCCTGGACTAATAGAATACGGCTTGGATGGTTTAACTGTAGCTGCTTGCCGCAACCACTTAAGTCAGACAAAAAGTGGAAGTTGAGCACAACTGATGTCCTCATACTTTGAGGCGGGTTGCGCTCTGACTAAGGAGTCAAGGGGGAGCGACAGCAAAAGTAATGTGTTGCCATCCCGCATCAGAAGTGACAAAAATAATAGCTGCGCCTCACGTGTAATTAATCGGTGGCGTCATTGGTACAACGCAATTTCCGGCTTTGTCAATTTATTGAGATTTCAAAGTGAATTCTCTTTTTTGATATCCAAATCAACACATTTTTCTTCTCTGGATTGCAAGTCAAAAAGTAGATTGTAACCTTCTCAATCTGGAAACAACCCTAATTTTCCCATACCATTTTATTTGAGCTTTTCAGTAAACGTGAAAACTAGTGGGTATCAATAAAAAAACAACAACACATTTTAGCATCGAAAAAGAATCTGTCAATTACCAACGTTGATCATTTCCTGTAACTTTGTCATAAACTTATTGGGTGCTGGTCTTTGTTCAGGTGCAGCCGTAGCGGAAGACCATGTGCCATTTGTGGTTTAATATAAATTACCTGTCCACGGACAAAGATTAAGGAAGAACCCGTGTGAAGTGAATCGACATGGCCATGTTCAAGCCTGAGAATGTGGAGGACTTCTATGAGATTGGGGAGGTACTGGGAAGGTAGGGATGCGGACAATTTTAAAATGATGTGAAAGCTAAACACAAGGGGCCCACAAACGTAACCTTGTGGGATCCCTTGAGTATTTTTCTGTACCTCAAGCTTGGCATTCCCTGTAACTTCTCTCCTCCTGCACAGCGGCCATTTTGGTGAAGTCCGTCGGGTCCGAGAGCTGGCCACGGGAACGTACTGGGCAGGCAAGTTCGTGAAGCTACGCAAGACATCGTGCAGCCTTCTGGGCCTGGAACGGAGCCGCGTGGAGCAGGAAGTGGAGGTGATCCAAGCCCTGCAGCACCCCAACATCATCGCCCTTAAGGATGTCTTTGAGAGTCGCGCGGAGGTGGTGCTCATCCTGGAGATGTGAGTTGACCAGATGTTTAGAAGGGTACATGTGAACGTGGTACGTCTCTGCACCATAACAAATTTTCCAGACTGAAAAGTCGGTACCTACGTGTGCCGTTCTGCAAATCCTGTGTGTCTCCATCACCTTTTACGGATGAATCCCAGCGTGAGCGGCGGCGAACTGTTTGACTTCATCGCCGAGAAGGAGATACTGACGGAGGACGAGGCCATCGAGTTCATGAAGCAGATCCTGGATGGGCTGGGCTTCATGCACAGCAAGAACATCGGCCACTTCGACCTCAAGGTAGCAACTTTTAGGATGTGGATGGACAACAAGCTGCGAGTATTGAGGTCATTATGTCTGCATTCATTCAGCCAGAAAACATCATGTTATCGGACAAAGAATCGCCGCATCCCAACATCAAACTCATTGACTTTGGCCTCGCCCACCAATTTCTACCTGGGGAGGAGTACAAGAGCACCAGCGGCACCCCTCAGTACATCGGTCAGTCTCACTCATTTTATTTACGATGAGTGAACGTTTGTTCACAAAATGGCACTAGATACACAAACACCCCTTGTCACGTTTTGAAAACCTGATGCAAAATTGTCAGCTCCAGTATGAGCGGTGACTTGTAAAACTTCACTGAATCCAACCTGGCTTTGTTTAATCCATTTTTAATGGTGTGACTCTCATTGGGTTACTAGCTTGCTCCTCAAGGTGGAAGCAACTTGGCTTCCACGAGAGTTTGAAATGGTCAAACATCAGCAAGGACAGGAAAGTGGTTGAATTTTGTATCAGATATTTAAAATGACAATTGTATTTTGATTAAAACGCAATCTCATTGTGTATGCAGAAAGATTTTGCCTAAAGGAAGGCATGAAGGTCAGGTCAATGTAATAGTCAGTTCAGGTTCAATAATCTTCCAAACTAGACTGAGTTTAAAATAATTTGTTTTCACTCTTCTTTCAAAGTTAGTGTCAAACATTACCGTCTGCCACCATCTACTGGCCGATAATGAAATTAAACCCTGCATAAAGAAAAAAAAAAGTTATATACATGCATCACCGTGGACCCGAAACCCACGATGGAGGGCGGTTTACTGTATGTGACTGTTTTCCTCGTCAGCAAAATGTGAACTGCGGGTACACATCTGCACAGAAAACATAATTTCCTCTCATTTCTTTTGGATGAATATAATAGCTTTTAGGTTATGATTGAAGGTAGTGCTAATGTTTTTGTCCCGTCTCGTCCAGCCCCGGAGGTGATCAACGGCGAACCCCTGGCCACGGCAACCGATATGTGGTGATTATGCCGCACGCTTCCTGGCCTTGCTCACTCTGTGTGTCCCGCACGATTCTTGAAGCAGATTTACTCGCCTTTCCGCTTTTTTTATACTCTTTCTGTCCCCTTCAGGAGTATCGGCGTCATTACATACATACTGTAAGTTGGAAGCCTTTGGCATGGCGTGGACTATCAACGAACAGATTGGGTTGTGATTTTACAGTCTTTTCCATACGCTGTGTCCACAGATTGAGTGGCATGTCGCCCTTCCAGGGCAACACAGATGAAGATACACTGAGGAACGTCGTGGCCGTGGACTACGAGTTTGACCCGCAGTGCTTCAGCACCACAAGCTCCACAGCCAAAGACTTCATCCAGAAACTCCTGGTCAGGAGTCCCAAGTAGGTGTCTCGTGTGGACTACCGTCTTATTGCAACGCTGCAATAAGTATGTTCAATA